AACAGAATGAAATACTGCCCAGATCTATGCCAACCTCATAATTATTATTATATCTGAGCTACTGGTTGCATCACTTGTGTCTCTACCTTTTTGAAGGTCTTCCTTTGCTTAGTGACCCTGTGTTTGACTAACCATAATATCCTTTTTTGGGAACTGGTACATATTTATAATATGTACATGAAAACGAAACTGAAGTGTAGCCAACCTCACTTCTAACTAGCTTTCTGGCTACTCCTCCTCCAACTTAGATTTGTTTGTTCTGTCAGTCCCTGGTACTTTCAATGTTCTTCCCCAATATCAATATTCAAATACACCCATCCTTCCCCAGTCCTCCTTATTCATTGTCCATACTTCACAGGCATGTGACGTCATTGAAAAGACACTGGTTTGGGTCAAGCACGTGTTGTTGTTGGAAGCCATTAGGTTGGCTCTGACTCATAGTGACCCTATGTCGAAGAGAAGGAAATACTGCCCACCTGGGCCTCTGCCCTCCTCACAATTGTTCTTATGTTTGAGCCCATTGTCGCAGCCACTGTGCCATCCATCTTCTTGAGGGTCTTCTTCTCTCCCTACCCCTCTACTCTCCCAAGCATGATATCCTTCTCCAGGGACTGATCTCTCCTAACATTTCCAAGATATGTGAGACAACATCTTGCCATCCTTGCCTCTCAGGAACATGCTGGCTACACGTCTTCCAAGATAGATTTGTTTATTCTTTTTGGCAGTCCATGGGACTTTCAATATCTCCCCCAGCATCGTATTTCAAATGCATCAATTCTTTTTCTGTCTTCCTGATTCAGTGTCAAACTTTCACTTGCATATGAGGTCATTGAAAATACCATGGCGTGGGTCAGATGCACCTTAGTCCACAAAGTAACACCCTTGCTTTCCAGTACTCTACAGAGGTCTTGTGCAGCAGATTGATCCAATGCAACACATTTTTTTTGATCTCTTGACTGCTGCTTTCATGAGCTTTGTTTTTGGATGCAAGCAAGACAAAATCCTTGACAACTGCAGTCTTATCCTTTTATCAGCATGTTCTCCTCTTGACAGGATGTTTGTTTTCCTTACACTGAGTTGCAATCCACAGCGAAGGCTGCCCTTTCAGCTTCAGCAGCAAGTGCTGTCTTTTGCCGGTTCACTAAGTCATTTGCGTCATCTGCAAATTTCCAGTTCTAACCCTTCCCCTAACCCTTCCCAAAGCTGCATTCTGCTTCATGTAGGCCAGTTTTGCAAATTATTTGCTCAGCATACAGTTTGAATATGTATGATCAAAGGACACAACCCGGAAGCACACTTTTCCTGATTTCAATCAATGAACTGTTCTAATCAAGTGTTCTGGAATTCCCGTTCTTCTCAGTGTTATCCGTGGTTTGTTATGATTCATATAGTTAAAGGCCTCTGCATAGTCAATAAGGCCCCAGTAAGATTCTTTCTGCTATTTTCTGACTGCAACCAAGATGGATATGAAGTCAGCAGTAAGATCCCTTATTCCATATCCTCTTTTGAATCTGATTTGAATTTCTGACAGTTCCCTATAGATATAGTGCTTCAAT